TTCCTTCCATTCTAAGGGAACAGAAAAGTTTCCACAGCAGGAGGGGACTGAAGGGGGGTTGCCCCAAGCCCGTTTCTGTAGTGAATAGTGAATCAAGCTAACACTGACTCAGGCCACATCTGCTTCCTCTGTCTGAATAACAGCTATGAAAAGTGTTTACACACTGTGGGTGATGTTAGGGTTGAATGAGAGAGCAGCGCCTACCACACTAAAGTGGAGTGGAGATGTGCTCTTATGCTCCGGGGTCCTCACGAGTGAACCTCCTGTCAGTCTAGGACAGTAAGACGAGACAGTGGACTCTTCCTTGCCATGTCCCTAACAAAGACAAAGACGTGGATTTCAGTGTCTCTTCCTCATAGATCGAAATAGCAGCAAGCAGATGGTCACAGCCCAAATTCCCATGGTGCTGACCTGGCTGGAGAGCCCCCTCAGAGTCCATTTGGTCCTACCGGGACACCCAGGGATGATAAGCAACTGGCCTGAGGGACTTCTGGTTGTCCCTTGTCAGCCAAGAGAAGTGTCTCACTTGTGCCCACTCTTCTTCCTTTAGAGGAAGGCCAGTAAACTATGGCCTGAAGGTCAAATTCCGCCCACCCCCCATTTCTGTCAATAACTTTAAAAACATCTCTGTTTGTTCATGTTCGATCTGTGGCTGCCTTCACACTGAATGGGGCAGTTGAGTAGTTGCAACAAAGGCTGGGTGACCACCAGCCTTATATATTTACTGCTGTTCCAAGCCACGAATGGATGGGTTGGGAAGGGGTCCCCTTTGCAGCTCTGAGTTCTGAAATATCGGTGCCCCAGAGGCACTGTTCTAACCCTGACTGGGTTTTCTTGTAAATCCATTTTTCTTCAGGCTGCAAAATCAGCTCTTATTGAGAACTGTAAGGTGAGGGACTTGGGCCTTCCGGAAAAATGTCAAGGGGCTTGACTGGGGATTGTAGAATTTAGAACGATGAAAGGAAGATTGGGAACCCATGTGATGGGAAGGAGGAGCTCTCAAGAGACAGGAGAATGGCTGGAGAGCAGAGGAGGGGCTGTGGGAGGCAGATGGAGTGGGTGGGCAGGAGCATGTTGGGGCCCCAGGCAGAGAAATGTAGACTTACTGTGGGGCTGTTGGGTGCTCTTGTGTCTTCTGGAGAAGGGGGGTTTGAAAAGCAGTATTGTAGAAGGCTGCCCTAGAAGTTTGAAGGAGTCTGACTGGGAGAGAGAGCAGATTCAGGTCCCCAGAGAAAAGCGATCTAGAAACCTGTATGTGAGGCCTCACGGGCTAACTGGAGGGCCAGGGGGAAAGCAGAGAAGGAGAGGAAAGGAGCAAGAAACTAAAATGAGTCGGGCCGACCGTCACATGGAAGAGAAGAGTCTTCCATGACGCAAACGGCTCGTTTCAATATGTCTCCTCAACTAGTCTGTGAACTCCTCTAGGGGAACACAGTGCCTAGTATGGTGCCTGGCACACAGAAACAGACAGCAGTAAGTATTGGTTGAAGGAAGAAAAGAGGTGTGATTGACAGGAGGGGTGTGATGACAGGAGGAAGGTGATTGACAGGAGGGGTGTGATTGACAGGAATGGGGAAGGTGGATATTGTGACTAGCGGGTGCTCACATCCAAAATGCACTGAGCTTCAGGCAAGGCTGCCTGAATATTCGTCCTTTGCCAGAAAGGCAAATTAGCCCTAAGCAGTGAAAACACATGTAAATACTGTGCCTGGAATTTTGTCATAAGGAAAGGCATCTTTGTTGCAGATGCTTAGAATCGATTCCTGGGGGCAGGGAAGACCAACTTACCTTGACCACCTGTGGGAGGTACTCCTAGTGAGTTCATAGGCAGCCTCACTTGGACAGCAAGATGTTTTCCAAGGCTGTAAAGGTTCTGCTCGCACCTCTCCTTGTAAGTAGGATGTGTGGTGTGGTTAGTGTCTTACATTCCCTTCTCCCATCCCTTGAAGCTCTGCTTTTTTTTTTTTCTTTTTGGAGTGGTTTGTACATTTTTTCATTTAGCAAATGCCTAACAATTGTTTCTGATTTTAATTTTTTTTAACGTGGGTAAGTTCAGGGACTAACTTCTATCCGACTTTATATGCACACAGTGACCCTTGCTTTAGTGTGTATCCGCGTGTCCTCTCTCTCTCTTTTCCTCTTTCCTCTTTCTCC